ACTACTACTACTACTACTACTATATACTACTACTATATACTACTACTACTACTACTACTACTACTACTACTACTACTACTACTACTACTACTACTACTACTACTACTACTACTACTACTACTACCACTACTACGGCTATTTGAAATTACGTTGGCGAAGGACCCAACCATATGAAGTTGAGGTTATCGCAACTGTGAAAATCGTCTTCGGTGAAGCTCCTTATGGGGCCACGAAGCGCTGCGCTGGGCGGGGGGGGACGCATGCAGGCGGTAGCATTGGGGCAGCCGGTGAAACTCCCTATGAAGCCACGAAGCGCTGCACTGGGCGGGTGAAGGTGCCAAAATCGGCGTGCGGGGCGCACGCGGGCAGTCCCATTGGGTGCTCGGGTGAAGCCCCCCATGGGGCCGCGAAGCGTTGTAAAAGGTGGGCGCAAATGCCAACTTGGGCGTGGGGGGCGCATGCGGGCGGCCCCAGGGCTTCGGTGGGAGTTACCCATGGCCCCTGTGGGAGACGCACGGGGGCGGTCCCACTGGGGGCTTCCGTGGAGCTGCCTATGGGGCCACGAAGCGTTTTACTGTGCGGGTGATAAGGCCAAATCGGACATGGTGGATGCATGCGGGCGGTCACGCTGGGGGTTTCGGTGGGGTTCCCTATTGGGCCACAAAGCGCAATATTGGGTGTGTGAAACTGCCAAATTGGATGTGGGGGGCGCATGTGGGCGGTACCACTTGGTGCTTCGGTGGAGCTCCCTATGGGGTCACGAACCTTTGTACTGGGTGGGTGAAACGAAGGGAACAAAAGAGCTGTGCTGGGTGGTGGCGGACGCATGCGGGCGGTGCCACTGGAACCTTCGGTGGGGCCCCCTTTATGGGGCCACGAAACGTGGTACTGGGTGGGCGAAACGCAGGGAGCAAGGGCTGTGCGGGGTGGTGGCGAACGCATGCGGGCGGTCACACAGGGGGCTTCGATGGGGCTCCTTATTGGGGCACGAAACGCAATACTGGATGTGTGAAAATGCAAAATTGGATATGGGGGGCGCATGTGGGCGGTCCCACTGTGGGCTTCGGTGCAGCTCCCTATGGGGCCACGGAACACTGTAGTGGGTGGGTGAAAATGCAAACTTGGGTGTGGGGGACGCATGCGGGCGGCCCCACTGGGGGATTCGGTGGGGCCCCCTATGGGGCCACGAAGCACTTGACTGGGTATGTAAAAATGCCAAATTGAATTTTTGGGGCGCATGCGGGCGGTCCCACTGGGGGCTTCGGTGGAACTCCCTAAGGGGCCACGAAGCGCTGTCCTGGGTGGGTGAAAATGCCAAATTGGATGTGGGGGGACGCGCGCGGGCGGTCCCACTGGGGGCTTCGGTGGAGTCACCTTATAGGGGCCACAAAACGCTGTATTGGGTGGGTGAAACGCAGGGAGCAAGGGCTGTGTTGGGTGGTGGCGGACGCACGCGCGCGGTGCCACTGGGACCTTCGTTGGGGTTCCCTATGGGGCCACGAAGCTTGTACTGGGTGGGCGAAACGCAGGGAACAAGGGCTGTGTTGGGTGGTGGCGGACGCATGCGGGCGGTGCCACTTGGACCTTCGGTGGAGCCCCCTTTATGGGGCCACCAAACGCGGTACTGGGTGGGTGGAATGCAGGGAGCAAGGGCTGCGCTCGGTGGTGGCGGACGCACGCGGGCGGCCCCACTGGGGGCTTCGGTGGAGTTCCCTATGGGGCCACGAAGCGCGGTACTGGGTGGGTGAAACGCAAGGAGAAATGGCTGTGCTGGGTGGTGGCGGGCGCATGCGGGCGGTGCCATTGGGGCGTTCGGTGGAGCCCCCTTATGGGGCCACGAGGCGCTGTACTGGGTGGGTGAAACGCAGGGGGCAAGGGCTGCGCTGGGTGGTGGCGGACGCATGCGGGCGGTGCCATTGGGACGTTCGGTGGGGCCCCCCTATGGGGCCACGAAGCGCGGTGCTGGGTGGGTGAAACGCAGGGAGGAGGGAGGAGGGGGAAGAGGAGGAAAAGAGGAGAGGGACGCGGGGACCGTCTCTTCAAAACGAGGACCCAACACCAAAGGATGGTTGGGAAACATAAAAATTAGCCTGGCGAAGGACCCAACCATATGCAGCTGCGAGCACCGCACGGATATGAGACGACGGAGGGGGCGCGCAAACTAGGCCCCTCTTCTCATAGGCACCGCGCCACTGCATGGACGAGGCACAGGGCAGCGCGGGCAGGAGGTGGCGGGCGGAGGAGGAGAGCTCACTGGGGCGAGCCAACACATCAGTATCGTCATCGCATCATGAGACCTGTTACTGGGCACGCAGGAAGAGGTGGCGGAGACACCGTGTAGATGTCGAAGGCAGGTCAGCAGCGGCAGAGACAAGACCGGGGGGGCCCGCGGTCAAGAAGCAAAAGGAAGCAAGAGGAGCGAGAGACGAGGGGTGACATGTTTGCCTCCTGGCCGATAGCGAGCCACGCAGAGTGCACTGCGCAGGCGGAGCCGCTCGAAAGTGGCTGGGGAGTCCCCACCGACGCGGTCTGGTCATCCCGAGGGAATCCCATCGACGCGCGGGGGTCGTCCACTGCGACTCAAAGTAAACGGATAGCTCCCCCGTGCTGCGCGGCGAGGCGATGCGAAAATTGCGCGATCTGGGTGAAATCCCCCGGGACCACGAAAAACACGAACAGCATGGACTCATAGAGAACAAAATTACAAGGTACGGGTGACGCACTTCATATACTGGGGACGCCCTGAGTTGGAAGCAGAAGGGTCCAACCTGATGCTCTGCCCGTGGATTTGGACCGTGAGATGGAGTGGCAAGGCCCTCAGAAGCGACTTCCACAGCCCATTCTCCACGGATTACCCCAACGGTTCCAGCCACCCGATAGCCACCGAGACGTGCCAACGCATGTGTCACCAGAGTCTCAAGCTCCCCCCGACCGTCGGTGGAGATCCCTATGGGGCCACGAAACGTGTGAGCGGTGCGCCGAAATGGGTGTTGGGGAGTGCCGAAATGGGTGATGGGGAGGCATGCGAGCCATGCCACTGGGGCCTTCGGTGGAGCTCCCTATGAGGCCACGAAACGTGTGAGGGGTGTGCCGAAATGGGTGGTGGGGAGGCATGCGGACCCTGCCACTGGGGCCTTCGGTGGAGCTCCCTATGGGGCCACGAAACGTGTGAGGGGTGTGCCGAGATGGGTGGTGGGGAGGCATGCGAACCCTGCCACTGGGGCCTTCGGTGGAGCTCCCTATGGGGCCACGAAACGTGTGAGGGTGTGCCGAAATGGGTGGTGGGGAGGCATGCGACCCTGCCACTGGGGCCTTCGGTGGAGCTCCCTATGGGGCCACGAAACGTGTGAGGGGTGTGCCGAAATGGGTGTGGGGAGCATGCGACTGGGGCCTTCGGTGGAGCTCCCTATGGGGCCACGAAACGTGTGAGGGGTGTGCCGAAATGGGTGGTGGGGAGGCATGCGGACGCAGCCACTGGGGCCTTCGGTGGAGCTCCCTATGGGGCCACGAAACGTGTGAGGGGTGTGCCGAAATGGGTGGTGGGGAGGCATGCGGACCCTGCCACTGGGGCCTTCGGTGGAGCTCCCTATGGGGCCACGAAACGTGTGAGGGGTGTGCCGAAATGGGCGTGGGTGACGATGACGATGATGATGCGATGATGATGATGATGATGATGATGATGATGAGACGACGACGACCGACGACGACGACGACGACGACGACGACGACGAGGAGGAGGAGGAGGAGGAGGAGGAGGATGAGGATGAGATGAGGATGAGGATGAGGATGAGGATGAGGATGAGGATGAGGATGAGGATGAGGATGAGGATGATGATGATGATGATGATGATGATGATGATGATGATGATGATGATGATGATGATGATGATGATGATTATGATTATGATGACGATGGGAAGAGGTAGGAGGGGGAGGAGGAGGAGAGGAACGCGGGGCACCGTCTCTTCAAAACGAGGACCCAACACCACAGGATGGTTGGGAATAAGAGTATGAGTCCCTCAGGAACTCTTCTCCCACAGAACATCGTCCCTCAGAAACTCGTTGCGTGGGAGGACGGGGGGGGGCGTGGAGGGGAAGGACGAGGAGGGGAAGGACAGGCTTTCTTCCCAGGCGAGAGCTTTGGGCGGGGGAGGTCCACCTCAACACTGAAGACCTCCTCGGGTCACCCCTTGTTTCGGTACCATGTCCGTTCCCCCGATCGTCGTCCTCGCCTCCGCCGGCGGCAGCGGCGGCGCGGCCTCGAAGAGCGCCGGCGGCGGAGGCGCCGGGGCGGGGTCCTCCAGCTCTACCGGCGACTGCGC